CTATTGTCTGGAAAACCTACCTCTTAGAGTTCTCCTCAGCCTCTCCTCATTGCTTTATCCTTACGCAACCCATACACTGGCTCCTCAAGTCTTAGCAGGTGCTTTTTCTACCAAGTGGGTATTCTGAGCTCTATCCCTCATTTTACACTTTATCCTGTTCTCCACAACTATTTGTCACAGCTATATAAAATTGATGGGTCCTACAAAATTTTCTATTAGACTTAGAGTTTCATTAGGTGGAGACCTCTCAAAAGAGTGGTTCTCAGACACTGGTTTTCAGCTCAATGCTAGATAGACTATATATATATATATATATATATATATATATATATATATATATATATACATATATACATATGTTGCCAGAGACATAGATTTCTGGGCCTTATCTTCAAAGATCATAAGTTAGAAGGCTGGAAATGTGTACACAGATATACGCTTTTACAAGGTAGCCCAACTTTTAGTTTCTTGGAAATGATTTGAGAAACAGATGCCCTCAACACTCCTTCATTCAGACTTTCCTAAATAAACTACATTCAATCTCGAAATCAGACGGATGTGTTAAGTCAAAGTTAAGCTGTGTGGGAAGTTGGCACTGAGAGTTATTTTGGAAAGTCCAAATCCCTTCATCTAAAACTTCCTTCTTTACCCTCTGAAAAAAGGTCAGAACAAGAGAAACCAGTACAGAGACGGTTGGTATCTATAGATACTTAACTTTTCCTGGAAATACTGTGTTGTCAATGTTTCACACCTCTTCTAGATGCACAATTTTATTTCAAAAGTTACTAAATCTGATCAAACAGAATAATCAAAGCCTAATGCTTGATTTTAAGTGATTTTAAAGTTGTGTTGTATCTGGTGACCCTTTCTTTTATATGATTGATAATATCTAACTTACTAAGATTCAGACTTTGACTTAAATTGGCAAACTTTTCTGAAAACTACAAAACATAAATTTTGTTTATTTGGTTGATTTTTAGTTATTTTGTTTTGTTTTGTTCTTTTTGTCTGGAAACCTTTGTGTGCTTCCTGATAAAACTCTTCAGTATTTCTTTTATTTGTGAATGGAACATACTCTGTTTTCCAGTGTTATCAGAAATTTCACCATATTTTTCTTGTCAACACTCCTTATTTGTTATTACAAGGGATGTTTATCCCACTTCTCCAGACTGTCATAACTGCATACTTTAGTGTTATTATTTATAATGGTTATATATTTTATGCTGATTGGTGGTTTACATTTTTATTATTTTATGGTTTGAACAAATTGTATTCATTTTTTTGTAATTTCTACAATTTATTCACTTTGTATCCCTGTTGTAATCCCCTCCCTCATCTCCTCCTGTTCCCACCCTCCTTCCCTCTTCTCACCCTTATCCCTTTCCCCTAGTCCACTGATGGGGAAGTCCTCCTCCCCTACTGTTTGATCATAGCCTATCAGGACTCATCAAAACTGCCTGGATACTCTTCCTCTGGGCTGGCTAGGTCATCCCACCAGGGAGAAGTGATCAAAGAGAGGGCAACAGAGTTCATGTCAGAGACTGTCTCTTCTCCCCTTACTAGGGAACACACATGGACACTGAGCTGTCTATGGGCTACATCTGAACAGGGGGTCTAGGTCCTGTCTATGCATGGTCTTTGGTTGATGTATCTATCAGTCTCTGAAGGCCTCCCTGGGCCAAGCTTTTTTTGGCTTTGTTCTCTTTTTGTGGCTCCTGTCTGCTTCGGGTCCTTCTATATCTCCCTTCTTCCATAAGACTCCCTGTGCTTTGTCCAAAGTTTGGCTGTGAGTCTCTGCATCTGCTTCTATTCCTTGCTGGTTGGAGTGTTTTAGAGGACACCTATGGTAGGCTCCCATCCTGTTCCCTTTCTTCTACCGCTTCTGGTGTCTACCCTGTTTTCCCTTTTAAATGAGAATTAAGCATCTTCCCTAGGGTCCTTCTTGTTGTTTTGCTTCTTTAGGTCTGTAGCTTTTAGTATGTTTATCCTTTATAATATGGCTAATATCCACTTATAAGTGAGTATATACCATGAGTCTCCTTCTGCTTCTGGGTTACTTCACTCAGGATGATCTTTTCTAGTTCCCACCATTTGCCTGCAGATTTCATGATTTCCTTTTTTTAATAGCTGAGTAGAATTCCATTGTGTAAATGTACCGCAATAGCCACAAATAGCATAAAATACCTTGGTGTGACTCTAACCAAGCAAGTGAAAAACCTGTTTGAAAAAAACTTCAAGTATCTAAAGAAAGAAATTGATGAAGATATCAGAAGCTAGAACTATCTACCATGCTCATGGGGTGGTAGTATTAGCATAATGAAAATGGCCATCCTACCAAAAGCAATCTACAGATTCAATGCAATTCCCATCAAAATTCCAACACAATATTTTGTAGAACTTGAAATAATAATTCTCAATTTCCTATAGAAAAACAAAAGGAAAAAAAACAGAATTGGTAAAACAATCCTATACAATAATAGATCCATAACTGATCTCAAGCTGTACTATAGAGCAACAGCAAAAATAAAAACAAAACAAAACAAAAACCTGCATGGTACTGTCAGAGAAACAGGCTGGAATCAAATCGAAGACCCAGAAATAAGCCCTTACACCTACAAATACCTGATTTTTGATAAAGAGCCCAAACCATACACTGGAAAAAAGACAGCATCTTCAAAAAAAAAAAAGAAAAGAAAAAAGAAAAAAATGGTGCTGAACTAACTGGATGTCTACATGTAGAAAAATTCAAGTAGATGCATATTTATCACTTTGCACAAAACTAAAGTCCAAATGAATCAAAGACCTCAACATAAAACCAGACACACTAAATCTGTTAGAAGAAAAAATGGGAAAGAGCCTTGAACTCATTGGCACAGGAGACAATTTCCTGAACAGAACACCAACAGCACAGACTCTAAGATCAACAATCAATAAATGGGACTTCATGAAACTGAAAAGCTACTGTAAAGCAAAGGTCACTTGAGTTTTTAATTCAAGCCATTCTGATGCATGTGTGATGGAATCTCAGAGTCCTTTTGATTTGCATTTCCCTGATGACTAAGGACACTGAAAATTTCTTTAAGTATTTTTCTACCATTCGTTTTTCCTTTGTTGAGAATTCTCTGTTTAGCTCTGTACCCCGTTTTTTAATTGGATTATTTGGTTTATTAGTGTTTAATTTCTTGAGTTCATTATATATTCTGAATATTAGCCCATCAGATGTAGGCTGGTGAAGATTTTTTTTCCCCAATGTGTAGGCTGTTGTTTTGTTCTGCTAACAATGTCCTTTTCTTTACAGAAGCTTTTCCATTTCATGAGTTCCCATTTGTTGATGATCTTAGAGCCTGAGCCCTTTGTGTTCTGTTTAGGATGTTGTCTACTTTGCCGATGTATTTAAGGCTCTTCCCCACTGTTTCTTCTAACAGATGTAGTGTGTTTGCTTTTATGTTGAGGTCCTTGATCCACTTAGACTTTACTTTTGTGTAGGGTGATGAAAATGCATCCATTTGCATTTTTCTACATGTAGACATCCAGTAGGACCAGAACTATTTGTTGAACCATACACTTTTTTCCAGTCTATGGTTTTGGCTTCTTCATCAAAAATCATGCTTTCGTAGGTGTGTGGGCTTATTTCTGGGTCTTCGATTTGATTCCAGCCTGTTTCTCTGACAATACTATGCAATTTTTATTACTGTTGCTCTATAGTACAACTTGAGATCACGGACGGAAGTTCTTTTATTGTACAGGATTGTTTTAGCTGTTCTGGATTTTTTTTGTTTTTCCATACGAAGTTGAGAATTGTTCTTTCAAGTTCTGTAAAACATTGTTTAAATTTATTTACGTTGTGGAATATTTTGTTTTCTCCATCTATTTTGATTGAAAGTTTTGCTGGGTATATTAGTCTGAATTGACATCTATGGTCTCTTAGTGTTTACATGATATCCGCACATGCCTTCTGGCTTTCATAGTCTCTCTTAAGAAGTCTGGTGTGATTCTGATAGGTCTGCCTTTATATGTTGCTTGGCCTTTTTCTCTTGTCCCTTTTAATATTTTTTTATTTGGTAGATTTAGTTTTTTGATTATTTTTTATGTTTATTAATTACACTTTATTCACTTTGTATCCCCCCAAAAGCCCCTCCCTCCTCCCCTGCTGATCCCACCCTCCCATCCCCTTCTTCAGGCATGCCCCTCCGAAAGTCCACTGATAGGGGAAGTCCTCCTCTCCTTCCTTCTGATCTTAGTCTATCAGATCTCATCAGGAGTGGCTGCATTGTCATCTTTTGTGGCCTGGTAAGGCTGCTCCCCACTCAGGGAGAGGTGATCAAAGAGCAGGCCAATCAGATTATGTCAGAGGCAGTCTCTCTTCCCATTACTATGTAACCCACTTGGACACTAAACTGCCATGGGCTACATCTGTGCAGGGTTTTTGATTATTATGTGGCAGGAGGAATTTCTTTTCTAGTCTACTTGATGTTCTGTAAGCCTCTTGTATGTTCAAGGGCATCTCTTAAGGTTTGGGGAATTTTTGTTCTATGATTTTCTTGAAAATATTTTCTACATTTTTCTTATTTTGTGAGCATCATTAACATTTCTAATGCATGACAAAAGAAGCTGGTTGGGGCAGGCTGGGTGGAACTTTCCAGAACACTGGGTGGGTGGTTTATGAAGTTCTTGCTGATTGCAGACAAAGGGACTTATATGATAAATAAGGAGAACAGGCTAGATTAAAGAGGGTGGAGCAGATGGTGGTTTTGGCTTGCCCATGGATATCTTTGGTATGCTCTTTGGAGAAGGAGAAAAGATGCAAAGAGAAAGGAGAGGTCAAAATGCTGTGCATCAGCTGTCAGCGACCTTAGAAGAGTTGCTTAACGGTGCAAGAAGAAAACTGGCTCTGCAAATGAATGTGATTTGTGACAAACGTAAAGGCCGAGGTGGTAAGAAGCAGCAGTGGAGTGCTACCCCAACGGCCAGGAGGGGTGCGGGATGGGGGCGGGACTGGCATGCAAATAAGGATTCATCAGATCGGACCTGGAATGGTTCAGCAAATTCAGTGTGCACATGGTGCCAGTCATGAAGAACGCACCAGCCCTAAAGACAAATGTAAAAACTGCAATGGAAGAAAAATAGTTCGAGAGAAGATTTTAGAAGTTCATACTGATAATGGCATGGAAGATGGTCAGAAGCTCACAGTCCATGGTGAAGGAAACCAAGAACCAGGACTGAAACCAGGAGACATTATCATTGTGTTAGAGCAGAAGGACCATGTTGCTTTCACACGAAGAGGAGAAGACCTTTTCATGTGTATGGACATACAGCTGGTTGAAGCATTGTGTGGCCTCCAAAAGCCAGTATCCCCTCTTGACAACCAAACCATAGTCATCACCTCTCATCCAGGTCAGACTGTCAAGCGTGGAGACATAAAATGTGTGCTATATGAAGGCATGCCAACTTACCATCAGCTATATGAAAAAGGATGTCTAATCATTGAGTATAAGGCAAACTTCCCTGAAAATGGCTTTCTATCGCCTGATAAACTCTCTTTGCTGGAAAAACTCCTTCCTGAAAGGAAGGACGTAGAAGAGACTGATGAAATGGATCAGGTAGAACCAGTGGACTTTGATCCAAATCAGGAAAGAAGGCTTTGTTATAACTGAGAAGCATACAAGGACCATGAACATCACCCCAGAGGTGGTGTTCGGTGTCAGACCTCTTAGTGCGCCAGTCACACTTTGACGTTCTATATGCAGTAGTGAATGTGGGAAGGACTATAATCATAATGTGCTCGCTACTTGGCTATTGTTTTTGTTTTAATATTCAACTATAGTAGTGTTGTAAAAGTAAAATGAAGAATGAACACATATATAAAAGCTCAACAACTTTTCCAATGCATTACTGTCTTCCTACTTTCTATACTTAATATAAACATGTTTATTTATTATTCACTAAAACCACATTTTAAAATTATTCCCATTGTATTAAGAATATTTATTTTACTAAAGGGTTTTTATATTTACATATTGTTCTTTTAGCCCTCCCTTTTAAGCAAACTCTTAGACAGTTTGCTTTCCAAAAACTGTATTAAATATATATTTAAAATATTATATATATATAAATATATATCAGTATTATTATTGCCAAACCCCTGCTTATTGTTGATTTAATCATAGTTTGCTCCTCTTCTCTTCTCTTCCTCTTTTTCTATCTCTGCTTCCTCTTCCTTTCTTTCCCCTATCCATTGCCTCCTTTGTCTACATTTACTTTGTAGAGAGGATTTCATTATGGCCTTGGAATAATGATGCTCTAGTTCAACATCCTGAATGCTGATTTTTTTTACTCATTTACTACCATATCCATCCTTGCATATTTTATTCACATGGGTTTTGGGGTTGATACATTTTCCAATGTTTGTCTGTTTGTGAACATCTTCTCTCACATTAACATACTGACCCTATTGTGTGTGAGATTGATAATAGGCATTTGCTTATATTCTAATTATTATTAGCATCAATAAACAATAAAGATATTTGAGGCACTATAATATAATAATAGAATCACATTTTTAGCAAGTTAACTTTACACAGTGAAGTGTCTTGAGGTTTGTGTGAGACTCAGTATATCTCAGAATGGTAAACAAGAAATTGGATCCTCTATCATTTCTGCCCCTCTTTGCTCATAACATTTTGTCTGTATATCTATTAGACTTCTCTTTGTCCTCAGAATTAAGAAACTCTAAAAGATGATGTTACCATAAAGGTGAGGGTTCCAAGGCTTATGCCCCCCACAGAAAAACCAACTGAACAACCATTCTCATGTCAGAATAAAGTTACAATATCTTTGGAATCCCAGACACCTCTTAAGAGTCTCAAAATTAGAAGATATGACTGGAAAAAGACAAGAGACAGTTACCCATATCTCGCACCCTTTCAGATAGCCCAGTGAATGCACCAAGGGATATTCTGGCCTTTGAGTTCTTTTATAGAGACCTAAAGAGATCAAAATGAATTCAACTTCTCACAGCCCGTCAGAGGTTTGATTTGATTTGATTAGTTTGTTTTTGGATAACCAGTAAGCTTTGTGCAGACTTCAATAATCAGGCTTAAGCTTCTAGAAGTAGGCTCAGCTGTGACATAAGGGCAGTCCAAGGTACTTATGGACACCAGTGGGTAGGTGTGGCCCTAAACCCTACCAACAGACCAGACCAACTCCAGCCTGTTTACCTACTGGAGTTAGTCTGTAAAACCTGGGTGAAATTATTGTGTCTTCAAACACCACACACACACACACAAACACATACACACATCAACTCCAGGCTACCAGAATCACAAGGAAACAGGGCAACTCCAAAATAAATGAATAAATAATAAATAAAATGGAAACTCCAATTGCTGATCCTTGATAAATACAGTTTAAAAAGTCAAAAGCCAGTCCTAATGAGACCTGATAGGCTAGGGTCAGATGGAAGGGGAGGAGGACCTCCCCTAACAGTGGACATGGAGAAGAGATGAGGGAGGAAGGGAGTGTAGGATTGGGAGGAAATGGGGGTGGGAGCTACAGTTGAGATACAAAATGAATAAACTGTAATTAATATAAAAATACAAATTTTAAAAAGTCAAAGGCATCACATTAAAGGCACCTATGGAATAGATTGAAGTGATATTAGTCTAAAATAATTTTAATATTAAACCTAAATATTCAGCCAAACAGAGTTTTAAATCTAAGAGACAATGCTTTCATCCAAGTAAAATTTTAGGTCTCAAAGGCTTCTTATCAGACAGTACTCAGAAAGAGAGGTGAACTGGCAGACATGTGCTGGGGAAAGGCCAAATAAATAGCCTCCTCATGTTACAAAACATTGTACACACTCTGGTAGCAGCAAATTATCCCAACACCATACCCAGAATTTTAGATCAATTTGTCTTTTGTCACATAGTGCATGCAGATATTATGATGTCAAGTAAACAGAAGACATTCTTTTTGAGCAGGAATAGAATATTGTAAAAATATGACTGAAAACTTAACCACAAAGATATCTTTGACTCATATTTGAACTTAGACATAGCATGTATTACACGAAAGAAGTGTAATATTGTAAAGTAAGAAGTAAATATAAAAAAAAAACTGAAATTAAAATTTTTCACAGGTCCCAAAGCAAAAGCCCCCCTCTAAACCAAACCATACACCTCAATTAACTTTTGAGTAAAGAGAAGAAAAATTACATCCTAAATTGTTTATCAACACGCAAAGAAGGGTATTCAGGTATGTATGAGGCTCTGTGAGGTCTTTCCCAGTTGCAGTCCTTCATATAATTACAGCTTGTAAAGCGTCAAGCTATACAGAATATAATAAATCTGTGTGTGTTCTTGTATGTACAGATTAATATGTATGTGTTTATATACAGAGAAGCCAGATGCATTCCTGTGTGTAGATCCATGTGTGTGTGCAGAGACTGATACACCAAACCAAGGACCATGAAAGGAGAGGACCCAGAACCCCTGCTCAGATGCAGCTCAGTCTTCATAAGGGAAGTGGGGGTTGTCTCTGACATGGACTCTGTTGCCTGCTCTTCGATCGCTTCCCTCAAACACTGTTACATCTTCTCACATTCTGGCATTCTTGTGATGATTGACTCTGTTACTCACCACAGTCTCTTTCCATTTGCTTCATTTCTCACTCATCACAATTCTACCCTCTGAAGTTACATCCCTACTAGCTTGGACAGGAGATCTTATTCACACAGTCTTATTTCAATGAGACAATGTGTACATCTTTGACATAAGGTAATCCAACATATAGACAAATGACAGTATGTAAATTCTATTAAATCAGCAATATTCCATGACAACTTTTTTCCCTGCTTGACTGATGACAGCCACGTGTATTATGAACAACAACCTGACTTCTGTGTTAAGCTGAAAGATCAGAAAAATCAGTGAAATTTGAATTTTGATTCATCATTGTAGAGGCTTAATCTATATGCTTTGCTTTTTGGAGAACCTGTTAGCTATAATATAATTAATGAAGATTACATAATAGTGATGATAGACTCATTAGGGGAATCTCATAGCTTAGCAACATTTCTTTCCCTGTATCTTCATCTTCCCTCTCATTTAGTATACACCAGGGAACCATATCATTCGTTTAAATACCAGCTTCATCAAGCCTTGGCACTTATTTCTCTGTTCCCCCACCGGTTGCTTCACCTAAATCTATTCACTCTTTCTGGTTCTTCCCTTGCACCGTTTTATTACTTTTGCAGAACAAATCCATTATGTTTTGTCTTCTGTAAGCACTTCTTCAAATCCTTCTTGCTTCTAATTAACATCAATTATACATGAGTGTTCAGAGAAGCACTGGGACAACGTCTTTACATTTTATTTTTTTAATCAAACAAAATAATTCCAAAATAAACAAATAATGCCATGCTTATCACCTTGTAGTATTTTTACTAGATCTATGCAAAGAAATGAAAACAAAACAAAAACACCGGCTTTTCACCAGTGCAAGGACTCTGAGTCTCTTTTTCTAATCTTTAAAATCCATTTTTTTAACTTTTTATGTATTCTTTGTGACTTTCACATTGTGTACCCCAATTCCACTCATCTTCCCGTACCTTCCCATCAACCTCCTGCCCTTGCAGCCCTGCCCTACCCCAGGGCCACCTCTGCTGTGTTGGCCACTGAGGTGTGAAGTGCCTGGCCACTCTTCCAAGTGATATAGCCAGCGAGAGGGCCTCTGACTCTTAAAAGCTACCCGGCATTAAAAATGTCTAGTTCATCATTCAGAGATGAGATGTAAACATAAAATGCATTATATGATTTTTTTTTGATAGACCATATTCCATGCTTAAGAGAAAGAAGCCTACAGAGTTAACTTTCTATAAATGTGTGATGGTTTACATTACATGGTATTTTACATTTGAAATGATCATCACCATTCACTCAAAAAAAAAACAAAACATGTCAGCCTCTGGTCTCCACGTATGTATATACATACACACATACATGCTCATAATCAAACAAACAGCCATGTGCATGCACGACATATACACAAACATACATTAGAGACTTTGATGAGCAGATAAGAATTTACAGTGCTTGGGAGAGGAAGTAAGTGTGCTGGGATTTATTCTGGGTGTTTGTGTCTGTTAGGCTAGGGTCTTTGCACTAAGCTGGTTTATTTGTTTGCTTTCAAATGTAAAAGAATGGTTCTGGGTTGGAGTGGATAAACTGCTTGTCCTGCAAGTGTGAGGATGGTGCTTGAATCCTTGCACCCACATAAATCTTGCAGGTGTGGGGACCAATTGTAATCTCTAAGGAGGCCTAGACAAGGAGACACTGGGCCGCTCTGACTAGCTATGCTAGCTGGAATGGGTAAGTTCTGAGTTCAGGGAGAGACCCTGACTGAGTAAATACAGTGAAGAACCGCTGAGGAAGATAAAGACATTAATTTTGACCTCCAAACATACACGCCCACACAAGCACTCCCCACATACATTTGTGTACTCACACATGTGCAAGCGTTTGCTCGTGAATGTTTAACACACACACACACGCAGAAAGCCATGAATAATGTGGCACATGAACAAGAGCAACTACATGCACACACACACACATATAACATATATATATATATATATCACATATGCTGCTGAGCC